ACCCCCTTACCCTCACCTTTGTAAAAGGCGTATTTCAAGTACTAGATACTTGTGCTTTGGAATGTACATACATTTTCACCCTATGATTACGCTCTAAAAGTTGCATTAAGATTGCACGTCTAGAAATTAAATTATTCAACAAATAAATTCTTATGTTGCCCACACCGCAGCGCAGCCCACGCGCACGCAGAGCGCGTTCTAATATGTACGTGTGTATGTATGTGTGTCGAAAAGAATTGCAGACTGATTAGAATATCAGATTAGAGGGTTCAGGGTATCTCCTAGTCGAGCAGTCTCGACTAGAGTCTTTTTACTTGTTTTAAATTAGTGTTTAGTTATTCCTGTTTTTACGTCAATTACAACCCGATGCGTTGCTGGAATTGATGCCACCATGGATCGGGCAAAGTCAATTGTTAATTTCCACCAAATTTCGGTAATTTCCTTAATGATATCATCCTGTTTTCAGTCCTTGTTGAATAATCTGTTAGATTTCATCATTACCCAAACATTTTCATTTGTTAAGGCCCGGACTTTGCGAAGAACAAGGCAGAATGGCTTAGTTTAAGTCCCTTAAAACTTTGAAGGTATTGATCCTTTATGGCAAGGAGCATTATCTTGCTGCAGTAGCCAGTCAATGGCTAGAAATAGTCTGTTTCCCAATGTAAAATCATGGTGATTTAATATTGGCAAATATCCTGACTGATTTAGAGTGCCAAAAAAAATTTGTGTAAATACTTTTGACAACCTCTAAGTAATTGTTCTTTTCGCTCTATTTATTAGCATGTACCGTTATTTTAGCAATTTCAGCCGATCGTTTCTACATAGAATAGGCTTTATGTAACAAAAGCTTTTTTTCAAAAACGGTTCACAAAAACAACATAAAAAGCTCTTTAAGCAGAGCATGCGGAAAAATTTTCGGTGTGTAAATACTTTTGACCACCTCTGTATATACATAAGCAGACCGCTGCTCTTCCGGCATCACTGGCAGCGCAGCCAACCGATTTTAGCTGTACTTGACAATTGTAATCGAATTAGGAATAATTAATGAAATAAAACTCAAACCGAAAGGACCTACAGGGGTCTGCATCAAAATATCTGCGTACTTATTACTAAATGGATTAAACTACAGCTTTGATATAATTCTTACATGGCGACAACCTTGATATAATTCTTACATGGCGACAACTTCGATATAAATCCATCAGCAACTCATAATTATTGTCAATATGAACTTGTATTTGGAAGGCAAATAAGTTTAGAGTAGAATATGCCCAGAAGAGAGCTCGAATACTTTTAGGAAAACATAAAATTAAACGAAAAGACATAAATTATAAGAAACTATTAGATTTCAAAATATAATTAAAAAAAAAAAAAAAATCATTCTATTTTAAATAACTACATTATATTACGTCCTTTTTTATACCCTGAACTAGAGAAGGGCACGTGCCGGGGTTTTATCGGGTACCGTGGGTATGATTCAATTGAGGACGCGAGAATTGAAAACTCTCCGACAAACTGTAATCTTGAATTTCTAGAGTTTTTGACTTAGAAATTGATAAATATTATGCCACACGTTATAATTCAAACTTGTCAATCTTAGATTTTTGGCAGGAGGCAACGGATCTTTATGTATTCCGGTAAGCTGTGCAACAAGCGAGCGAGTATTCTCCTCTTCTGGAAAAATTTTAAATGAAAGGCGAACAAGGCTATTAGACGCAAATCTTGATTTGCTCCTTTTTATACCCTGAACCCATTGAAAATGGGAAATCAGGGTATAATGGTTTTGTGAAAAGTATGTAACAGGCAGAAGGAATCATCGCAGACCCCATAAAGTATATATATTCTTGATCAGGACGACGAGCTGAGTCGATATAGCCCTGTCCGTCCGTCCGTCCGTATGAGTGCGTCGATCTCAGAACTTATAAGAGCTAGAGAGCTGAAAGTTGGCATGCATACTCATGTATACCATACGCAGCACGAGTTTGCTTTCTTTTTTAGATAACTCATCCGATAACTTTATTATCGAGAATAATCGAAAATTTGATTTCGTTTTTTCAGCCTAATTTGAACACTTTTAAACCTGGAGTCTTCAAATCTGTGTTGTATATAAAGTTAATGGATACAAAGATTTTGTAATTTACAGATTTTGGATACCACGCTCCATTCGCCCCCAATTTGTAAAAAACGCATTTCAATTACTAGGGACTTGTGCTTTGGAATGTACACACATTTTAACCATATGATTACGCTCTGAAAGTTTCTTTAAGATCGTATGTCTACAATAGAAATTATTCAACAAATAAATTCTCATAATATTGCTCACACTGCAGCGCAGCCCAAGCGCAGTCGCTGCTTACAGCGCAGTTAGCAGAGCGCGTGCTTATAAGTGCATGTGTATGTATGTATGCATAAAAGAAGTCCAGAATGATTAGAATATCAGCTTGGAGGGTTCAGGGTATCTCCTAGTCGAGCAGTCTCGACTGGAGCCTTCTTACTTGTTATACCCTGAACCCATTGAAAATGGGAAATCAGGGTATAATGGTTTTGTGAAAAAGTATGTAACGGGCAGAAGGAGTCATCGCAGACCCCATAAAGTATATATATTCTTGATCAGCACGACGAGCTGAGTCGATATAGCCCTGTCCGTCTGTCCGTCCGTCCGTCCGTCCGTATGAGCAAAAGGATCTCAGAAGATATAAGAGCTAGAGAGCTGAAATTTGGCATGCATACTCGTGTATACCATAGGCAGTACGAGTTTGCTTTATTTTTTCGATAACTCATCCGATAACTTTTTTATCGAGAATAATCGAAAAATCGACTTGGTTTTTTCAGCCTAATTTGAACACTTTTAGACCTGAAGGCTTCAAATTTGCGTTGTGTATAAAGTTAATGGATACAAAGATTTTGTAATTTACAGATTTTGGATACCACGCTCCATTCGCCCCCAATTTGTAAAAAACGCATTTCAATTACTAGGGACTTGTGCTTTGGAATGTACACACATTTTAACCATATGATTACGCTCTGAAAGTTTCTTTAAGATCGTATGTCTACAATAGAAATTATTCAACAAATAAATTCTCATAATATTGCTCACACTGCAGCGCAGCCCAAGCGCAGTCGCTGCTTACAGCGCAGTTAGCAGAGCGCGTGCTTATAAGTGCATGTGTATGTATGTATGCATAAAAGAAGTCCAGAATGATTAGAATATCAGCTTGGAGGGTTCAGGGTATCTCCTAGTCGAGCAGTCTCGACTGGAGCCTTCTTTTTTGTTATACCCTGAACCCATTGAAAATGGGAAATCAGGGTATAATGGTTTTGTGAAAAAGTATGTAACGGGCAGAAGGAGTCATCGCAGACCCCATAAAGTATATATATTCTTGATCAGCACGACGAGCTGAGTCGATATAGCCCTGTCCGTCCGTCCGTCCGTATGAGTGCGTCGATCTCAGAACTTATAAGAGCTAGAGAGCTGAAAGTTGGCATGCATACTCATGTATACCATACGCAGCACGAGTTTGCTTTCTTTTTTTAGATAACTCATCCGATAACTTTATTATCGAGAATAATCGAAAATTTGATTTCGTTTTTTCAGCCTAATTTGAACACTTTTAAACCTGGAGTCTTCAAATCTGTGTTGTATATAAAGTTAATGGATACAAAGATTTTGTAATTTACAGATTTTGGATACCACGCTCCATTCGCCCCCAATTTGTAAAAAACGCATTTCAATTACTAGGGACTTGTGCTTTGGAATGTACACACATTTTAACCATATGATTACGCTCTGAAAGTTTCTTAAAGATCGTATGTCTACAATAGAAATTATTCAACAAATAAATTCTCATAATATTGCTCACACTGCAGCGCAGCCCAAGCGCAGTCGCTGCTTACAGCGCAGTTAGCAGAGCGCGTGCTTATAAGTGCATGTGTATGTATGTATGCATAAAAGAAGTCCAGAATGATTAGAATATCAGCTTGGAGGGTTCAGGGTATCTCCTAGTCGAGCAGTCTCGACTGGAGCCTTCTTACTTGTTATACCCTGAACCCATTGAAAATGGGAAATCAGGGTATAATGGTTTTGTGAAAAAGTATGTAACGGGCAGAAGGAGTCATCGCAGACCCCATAAAGTATATATATTCTTGATCAGCACGACGAGCTGAGTCGATATAGCCCTGTCCGTCCGTCCGTCCGTATGAGTGCGTCGATCTCAGAACTTATAAGAGCTAGAGAGCTGAAAGTTGGCATGCATACTCATGTATACCATACGCAGCACGAGTTTGCTTTCTTTTTTAGATAACTCATCCGATAACTTTATTATCGAGAATAATCGAAAATTTGATTTCGTTTTTTCAGCCTAATTTGAACACTTTTAAACCTGGAGTCTTCAAATTTGTGTTGTATATAAAGTTAATGGATACAAAGATTTTGTAATTTACAGATTTTGGATACCACACCCCCTTCGCCCCCAATTTGTAAAAAACGCATTTCAAGTACTAGAGACTTGTGCTCTGGAACGTACACACATTTTTACCATATGATTACGCTCTGAGTTTCACTTTCATTAAGATCGTATGTTTACAAAAGAAATTATTCAACAAATAAATTTTCATAATATTGTTCACACTGCAGCGCAGTCGCTGCTTACTGCTTACTGCTTACTGCTTACTTGTTTTTATATAAAAACATGTAATATTTCTGTAAATAATATTGTAATTTTTAAGAATTAACTTGTTATTTTTAGAAGAAAAAATTTGTTGTAATTTTTGAGAATTAAATTTTTTGAGCTTTTGACCGTGGGCGGATCGGGCCGGGTGCAAAAAAGTCGGCCCGTTCCCACCTCTACCCTCAACCCATTGAAAATGGGTTCAGGGTATAAAAACAAATTTGGAATAATTTAGTTTGTTAGATTTCTGTAAGTGTTTGTAAATCTAACTATAACTATGGCTTTGAATTTAAAGATTCAAGGCCAGATTTGCCATCGCATTGGATCACTGTAACCTATTGAAGATGCACAGCACAAATTCTTGCAAATATACTTCATGGGCAATACGGAAGAACAACTTAAAGGGCGTCAAGAAATCAACACAGCTATGAAAAGAGCAATTCTCCAAAATTTGCAGCAAATGCTTCACGAACATCATGCATTGGTCAAGCTGTTCAAGACTGCTTTAGAGTGCATGCCAAGAGATGACTATAAAGTAGTAATCAGAGCAGATAAAACACCAGCTGGAACACATGAACGCACATTTAATGCTGCAACAATCTATGAAGTCGCAATCCTGATTGTCGGTGAAAGCTTGGAAGCACGCGATATTGTGCTAACACGACGCAGTACTGGGCAACTACAAAGAATATCTGAAACGCACCGTTCATATGACGCTTTACAATACCCACTGATGTTTTGTCAAAAAGACGATGGATATCACTTCAATATCAAAATGATTAATCCATTGAATGGTAAAATCAATCATTGTTTTCATTTTAACTTTATATACATTTCATTCTGTTTGCTTTTGGTACACAAAAAAAGTTATCACTCTTAATTTAGTAGAGAGTAGCTGTAAGAGTCGTAACCCTATTAGGGGTTCTAAAATACAATTTTTACGATCAACAAATCACAGGGCCAATCTTTGACTATTTGTGGCCTCAATCTAGAAAATGCGTGTTTTTCTCATGGTCAATTGTAGGTGGCATGCTCACGTGTTGGCAAACCATCCGCATTATTTGTTCTTGCACCTGACCAAAAAACGAAGAATGTCGTTTACCACAAGGTGCTTGAATGAAAATCCGATTAATAAATTAATAAAAGTGTATCCCAACCTGAACAACATAGCTTTCAACAATTTTTTACCTAGAAATAATATAGAGGGAAATGCAACGTTTGCCGGGCCAGCTAGTTTTTGTTAAATAAAAAATTTTAATGCAGGATTATAAACTAATATATTTTCTTCTAAACTAAAAAAGAAAAACAGTGAAATTTCAAACTTACCATAATAATATTAATTAAAAACAAAAGGAACTCCAATGTCTGCGTAAACAAAAGTCTACGTACTCTTACAAACTAATATAAACTTACTAACTATAAGGAACAATCTTTTTAATTAAACTTCAAATTTAATATCTTGTGGGATAACCCTTCATCTTAATCACCTCTCTGAGGCGATTTGGCATTGAAAGCACCAATTTTTCGATATATTTGGGATCTAACGCACACCACTCCTGGTGTAATGCCTCTCGCAGGCGGTTTTTGTTGCTGATTTGGTGCTTCCTTATTTTTTTTTCGAGCATATTCCAAACATGCTTGATTGGATATATATCCGGACTCTGTGGCGGCGTCTCTAAATGGTGTGGAGTGTTGTACGCGAGATACAACCTAGTATTCATTGCTTTATGTTTTGGGTCATTGTCCTGTTGAAACCAGAAATCAGACCCAATTCCAAGTTTCTCGGCGCTGCTCTTTAAATTTTTTTTAAAATATCAATGTACACATATTGGTCCATCACTCCGTCGATGAATTCCAAATTTCCGACTCCTGCTGCAGCTATGCAACCCCAAACCATAATACCTCCGCCGCAGTGTTTTACGGTTTTTATTGTATTTTTGGGGTTCAATGCTTATCCTGGTCTCCTCCAGACGCGGACACGCCCATCTGAGCCAGAAATGTTATGGGCCCTTTATTTCTAAGACGAATGCTGACGCCAGACAGTGCAAGAAAATAAGAGTACGTAGACTTTTGTTGACGCAAATATTTGGGTATGTTTACATTCGCTGTAATATTATGGAACTAAAATTAAAAGTAAATGTTTTTCTTTTATAATTTAGAAGAAAATATATTAGTTTATAATCCTGCATTAAAACTTTTTAATTTAACAAAAATTTGGCCACGTTTCAGGGTGATTCGCGCAAATACAACAAGAGTACGGTGACTTTAGTGGCACACTGTATATACATACATATTTCTGTTTTTAAATATAGTTCGTACTAAGGAAAACTTACTTAACTTTCAATCTATAATTACCGATAGTACATAGAATCTTACTTACCCCTTCAATTAATGGTGGACAGCATGCGGGGTCCTTCAGCATTAAAAGCAACATCACATAATTCATTTTTGTACTGCTAAAAATATCCAAATTTGTATAGCTTTGACAACGACTCCCATTTTATTAATCCACTTGTATTATTAAATCTTTCAGCTGCAACGGTGATGCATTTAGCTCAAAGGCGATGATTTGGAACCATCTTAATTTGACAAGTAGTGGCTATTTTCACTGTCGAGCTCGCATTAGTAATATTATAAATATTTTGTAAACAAATTTGTAAATGGAGTAATGACGAATGAAGATAGATACCAATTGCTTTATCACAACGGTCCAGTGGAAGCTGTCGCAGATGGGCCCACTGGCCGTCTTTACTGCGAAGTTCAGCTTAACATAGATGCCAATGGCAAATTGTTCTCTTGAGGAAAACTTTGCAAATGGGCCCAGTCGCCGTCTGTACTGCAAAATTTTTGAAACAGTGGGCAATTTCCTTATAAATGTTGCTTCGATGAAAGCTTTTTGTAGATGGACATAGTCGCCGTTTTTAACATCGGCTCGACCTCTTAAAGACTCCAATCATAAATCAAAAGAAATTCCATAAGATATTTTGCATTATGGGATAGGGTAAAACAAAGTTATCATGTGCAGCTGGTATATTGGTCATTATCTCTGACCTCTAGAATGTAGGAGTAGATGGGCCCAGTTGCCGTCTTACCTATCAACTTAACCTATTAAAAGGTCGAAGCAGAATAATTAGGGGAAAACCAAGTTTTCATTTATAGGTAGGTCTATTGATCATCATCTATGACTTCTTGAATGTCAGAGTAGATGGACCCAGTAGCCGTCATTCCTACTGACTGGTCCAAGCATCAAATCAATTAAATTTCTCAGGAGATTCTGCGAATGAAAAACTAATTTGCATTCGATCTTGAAAGGCGGAGGAGTTTTCTTAAAGATCTTTGCACAACTTAAGTACATCCAAATTTTAAAGATAATATAGTTACCAGTCTTGAGGGCGATTTGACCGAAATTTATGATAAATAGGTGGCTTGTTGGAGGAATACAATGTAATTAAAAATTAATGCTTATTATAATCAATCAGTTAAGTTTAAAATTTAATATTCATACATTACACATGTATCGAACTTTATTAAATTATAATATGAAGCCCTTATCTTGTTGAAATATATATACTAGGCTCCTTTGTTCATTTGTAATTATTATTCTAAGTCATCAACGGTTGCAGATCCGGAAGTTTCTAAAATATTTGAAGAGCTCTCATTCTGGCTAGAGCGAGTTCCAGCGACCAATCCTTCGTTAGATTCTGAAGGCCTATTACCGAATTCTTGCATTTTGATAATTAACATAGCAAACACTTGAGCCGGTAGAGAGGATTGAAGCACTTGTAGTAATCGAGCGGGCTGACCACACACTACGATTGCATTAGCTAAATGCTCGACACCGCTTTCGAAATCACCACGAGCTATCAAGGTTTCACCTAGCTGAATTTCTTGAAGGAAATATCTGAAATTTATAATAATATTTTAGTCTTACAGTTCAATATGTGTAAAATGTATATAGTTTATATTAAAACCAAATTAACAGGCATTAAAGTAATATAATAAATATCTAAATATTCTAATATCCAAAAAATAAATCAGTATTAACAGATATACCTTGACAGATATGAAAAAAAAAAAAACAAAAAAAACAATAATATGATTTAGCCCTTATACATTTTCTGATGGTTAATATAGATATAGATAGGCTCAGCACGGCACCTCGTTTAATTTATTGTGTGGGTATGCGACGGATCCTTTTGCCTGATAAACACACTATATTTTTATTATAAATTGATGATTTTTCAAAAAATTACGCAAACAGCAAATTGTTTACAGCCGTTCCCGACACAAACAATTTAAAATTTGTTAGTATCCTAAACTATTTATAATTATTAAAGGTTTCAGCCTTTTTCCCATACTTGATTCTCTGGAATTTTTTTAAGTTATGAGAATTTGATATATACAGTGCCGCTCAACTCTCTCTCCCTATAATTTATATTTTACCAATTATCATAGCTCTAGTTGAGGCTGCTCGAGTACGAGAACTTCACAACCCATCGAGAAAGTGATATTTAAAAAGTTCTTTGCTGCTTTTCTGCATACACAAGAAAATCATCATGGGTTTATTGATATGAAAGACACCTCCAACTACATTCTCTCTCTCTCTCTCTCTCTCTCTCAATTGGAAAAGTTTTTGGAATACCCGAAATTTTATTAAATTAAACAGCTGTAAGATTTTTAGTGACACTAGATTTTCGTACAGTTTGAGGTGTTGCCCTATTTTAAGAAAAAAATGGTAGTAGCAACGCCTGTTTTATGAACATTATAATAAACCTTTTGGTACAACCTACCGTTTAAAAAATATTTTGTACAAAAATGTTTACTTTAGAAGTTAAGAGCTAAATTTTAAATTCATATTGGCTGTACGATTTTCAATGACGCATACTGTATAACGAAAAAATTAATTCTTTAAAAGCCGACTCAGCCTGTCGCCCAAAACACTTTATGAAAACTGCTATGCCTCCATTTCAAACGGGTTAAGGGTATAAAAACTAACCACGACATACATTACTCGGCATAGTTTTTTAACGAAAAAAGTTTTGCGTACTTTGAGCACAACTTTTTTACGGACTTATTCAGAACTTTTTATTTATTTTTAATTTGTTATATATATATAATAGAAACTTAAAAATATGCCACTACAGATTTTTCCATAGAAACTTAAAAACATATTTATTAAATTTAAATTTAGGGCGCGACATACAGTGACGAAGTAAATTATTGGCACAGCAAGGTTTTAGAACTTTATAGCAATTTTTCAAATATTTTGAAACGTCTTTTTAATGAAATAAAATATTAACCAAATAGAATAGGGAATTTTTGAAATTTTACAAAAAAAAAATATTCCGAAAAACTTCATCGTACATTTAAAAAAAATTAAATAACCAAAAAAAAAAACCCAAAATTTTGCTGATCAAAATTATTGGCACACTTAGTATTTTTTGGTTTTTTTATACTCATTCACGAAAGTGAATTAGTATATTGGTTTTTTTCTGTCCCTATGAACGCAATCTGTTTCGGCGCTATTGAAGCTAGAGACTTGAAATTTGGAACACATACTCGTGTATATCTCCGATCTATAAAGTGTTAAAATTTTCCCGATCCGCCCACTAGGGGCGTGGCAAATCAGAAAATGCATTTTCCGATATGCCAGAAATCATATTTATTAAAGAGCTAGAAAGCTGAAATTTGGAATATAGATCCGCATCGAGATCACGAGCTATGGCGGATATATCTACGCCCATTGGGGGCGTGGCAAGTCGGATAAAACTGTATCTCCAAGAGTTTTACAGCTAGAGCGCTGACATTTTGTACATCGGCTAAGGTTATGATTCTATAAAGTCTAAAGGCAAACATTTATTTCTACGCTCATTAGGGGCGTGGCAAATCGGAGCTAAAGATATGGTGATTTTTTTAATTCTGCTATATTTTAAACACTATTGATGCCAGACCACCCAAGACCAAAAAGTTTTGTCGGATGTATGTCCGCCAATAGGAGGCGTGGCATACCGCAAAAGTTGATATCTTCTAAAGTATAATAGCTAGAAGCTTCAAATTTAGATAGTTAAGTTACTAGTAATCTCCTCTATCGATAATCTAAAAATATTTTTTACGCCTCTTTAGGGGCGTGGCATATCGAAAAATACCCTGTAATTTTCACATTCAAACTTTGCAGTTAGGGTACCGTTATCTCGTTCTAAGCACTGACCAAAAATTAGATGCTTACGCCCAGTAAGGCCGTGGCAAATCGGGAAAAACTGCATTTTCTACAGTGTTAGAGCGAAACTTAACTACTAAAGTGCTGATGTTGAATGAGTATCCCGCAGTCGGTAACGCACGACTGCAACGTTCTTACTTGTTTTTTTTTTTTTTTTAACAATTTGACCGATTGCACAATGGGTAAAAATACCGATAGTGCGGCAAAACCCTAATTTTTTTTATCTCGAATCCGCAATTTTTTTTTTTTTTTTTTTTTTTCTCATTAAGGAGATTTTAATAGACGTAAAAACAATTTTTATAAAATTTTGGGGACTGCCGGTTTTCAGCTTTATCGAAGTCAGCTGATTCAGGATTGCATTGTGAATTGCAAAAAGTGTGAGAAATAATTCCCATCTTTCGGCGTAAAAAAGACCATTGCAATTAATATTTACGAAAAACTGTAGTTACGGACAGTTTGTCCAAAAGTATACTAAATTATATGTTTCAAAAGATTTTCTGTGCCTCTTGATTTAGTGTGAAACACTAAAATGTGTTGCTAATTGAATTTTCACCGTAACCTTAAAAACATTTCTGCGTTTCGTGGAAGATAACTTATAAGTGACAAGGTATTCATTAAACGTTCCTTAATCAAATGCTATAAAGGGTTTTTGCTGCTTTTTGCTCCATTTGGCCAAATATCGTATGCTGCAGATAGATACGTGATTTTCCTAGAAGTTTGGAACAGCAACAATAGGCAAGAAAGCGCTGTCAGAAATTTTATATTGGAGAATGTAAACAGCGAAAATATATCTTATGTGCAACTGGACATTATTATGCAAAATGTCTAAAATTTTAGATAATTTGCGCAAATGTAATCGTAATCTGAATTGATTTAATCAAAAACATACGCCTGGGCTAGCATCTAGTGTAAAGCTTATGATACACTGCCACGGCAACAATATGAATATGGGGGGTCGGAAGACCTTAAGCTATAACGAAGCAGGACCCCGATTAAAGAGTAAATTAGCTTCTGAACTTGCCTTAGAGAGCAATAATTCAAAGCTCATATTGCTACATGCTGATTTGGTTTCATCAAAGAAATCAAAAGAAACCAATAAAACTTATGTAGTACAAAAAACTATGAGCAGTGACAATTTATGGGATATGGAAAATAAGCTATTATTATTTAAAAAAAAAAATCCGAAAGTTTGTATTAATATTACTAACGTGTGCGCGAAATTTCTAGGGTCTATCTTTAAATTTACAGTTAATGCCGCACTATCGGTATTTTTACCCATAGTGGATTGGGCAAAGTCATTTTGGCAATTTTTTTTCTTTATTTAAAGCTTCGCAAATTTGAATTTTAATATAGAAAATTTTGTAAGAATTGATCATATTTTTTTACTTTTCTTAATACTGGCACCTAAGCTAAAAGAGACATCGATAGCTCAGAGGAAAATTATCCTGCATTTGCACGATCAAGTCAAATTTATTGAATAAACTGGAAAGATAATGGAAAAAACCGATTTTCTATTCGAAGCTACGTGCAGCACTCCAAGGAAACCCGCAATCTGTTCATAAACATACAGGTCGCCTTAAGTTGTTGAACAGCCATGAATGCTGGAAAATCGTTCGAAATTATCGATTACGATACGAAGAGTACTGCACAAGGCCAAATACAAAGTGCGTGTGGCTAGAAGAAAACCGTGCATCAAAGGTGCTTATAAAAAAAAAGCGTTTGGACTACGCTAAGGAAAATTTTAGCAAGCCATCTGATTATTGAAGTCAAGTCTTCTTCTGTGATGAGTGGAAATTCAATATATTTCGATCGGATGGGCTTTAAACTGCTTAGAGAATGCCAAATACTTCGTTTCACAAAAACAATATTACGCCAAACGTTAAGCACGGTGGTTGTGGGGTGATGGTCTGGGGTTGCATATCTTCTGCAGGTGTGCCCGAATTTGTAGACGGTATAATGGACAAACATTTGTATCTAAATATTTTTATACCCTGAACCCATTGAAAATGGGAAATCAGGGTATAATGGTTTTGTGAAAAAGTATGTAACGGGCAGAAGGAGGCGTGGCAGACCCCACAAAGTATATATATTCTTGATCAGCGCGATGAGCTGAGTCGATATAGCCCTGTCCGTCTGTCCGTCCGTCCGTATGAGTGCGTCGATCTCAGAAGTTATAAGAGCTAGAGAGCTGAAATTTGGCATGCATACTCCTGTGTACCATACGCAGTACGAGTTTGCTTTATTTTTTCAATAAATCGTCCAATAACTTTTTTATCGAGAATAATCGAAAAATTGATTTTGTTTTTTTAGCCTAATTTGAACACTTTTAGACCTGGAGTCTTCAAATTTGCGTTGTATATAAAGACAATCGATACAAAGATTTTGTAAATTACAGATTTTGGATACCACGCCCCCTTTCCCCCCAATTTACAAAAAACGCATTTCAAGTACTAGAGACTTGTGCTTTGGAATGTACACACATATTCACCATATGATTACGTTCTTAAAGTTTCATTAAGATCGTATGTCTACAAAAGAAATTATTCAACAAATAAATTCTCATAATATTGCCCACACTGCAGCGCAGCCCAAGCGCAGTCGCTGCTTACTGCGCAGTTAGCAGAGCACGGGCTTATGCGTGCGTGTGGATGCATGTGCATAAAAGAAGTGCAGAATGATTAGAATATCAGCTTAGAGGGTTCAGGGTATCTCCTAGTCGAGCAGTCTCGACTGGAGCCTTCTTACTTGTTTTAAAACAAATTCTGAAAAGCTACAACTACCAAGCTCGTTCACATTTCAACATGACAATGCCCATATCGTCAAAATATGACTGGCGTATAATACCGCTCCAGACCTAAATAGAATTGAACACTTTGGAAAGAATTGGATAGGCGCATCTCAAAACGGGTAATAACAAAACAAGCCGACCTAAAACGAGATCTTATTGTGGAATGGAAAAAAATTAGTGAAGATGTCAAATAATTTTGTTCATTATTCATTCATTGATTATTGAATTTATAAAAAAAAAGTACGTTGATGTTTTCGCAATATTTTTACTGTATGATTTATTTCTATTTAGTAAATTTTTTGTTTCACTAAAAAACCGTTAAAAAACAATTACAAAATTGCTTTAAAAAGTTTGCTGTGCCAATAAATTAGTTCGTCACTGTAAGTATTTTGACAAGAATGTAATACTAAGAAAAAAATATTAAGCTGAACAAAGGTAAAGGAATGAAGACAAATTTAATCAAATGCATATCTCTTTCGCCTTCAATAAAATTTTCGATTCGGACCTGAATCCCCAAAATTTTGCAAAATGATTGGTTTTGTTTAACTAAATAGTTGTTTTGTGTTTTAATAGACTCTATATAAGATATATACAAGGAAGAATATTAATATCCTTAACAAAACTAAACAAACACCCGAGCTATCATGGCAAATAGCTTAATCCTGCTACTGTAAAAAAAAAACTTTTCCGATATGTCTATCATCGGAAAGAAAGGCATTATCATTTAAGATACCCTATTTTTATAAATTTTTTTGTAACTTTTACAAAAAGATTTTTAAACAAGAAAGCTCTTGTCGAGACTGTTCGACTACGAGATCCCATGAACCCTTCGAGTAACAGCTATTTCAATCATTTTTCGCATCTTTCTGCTTAAGCAAGAAGTACACATACTCACACGCACATGCACGCACACACAAAAACCCGCATGGGCTGCAATAATAATTTTCTGATTATAACATTAAAATGTATGCTGTTGCCAAAGCACAAGTCTCTAGTATTTGAAATACGCCTTTTACAAATATGTGGGTGAGGGGGTGGATATAGGGGAAGGGGAAAACTTATAACAAAAATCGAGATTTTATAAAATGCATCTAAATCTACATTTATTAATTTGGAGACTCTAACTCTAAAGATGTAGCAGATATCATTTTATAACTGATTTTCGATAAGGTTCTTTATCGATAAAAAATAACGTGCTATATATACGGACAAAAAAATTTGGAGTCTCCAGTTCTTATATCTTCTGAGATCGACGCGTTCATACATACGGACAGACGGGCAGAGCTAAATCGACTCAGCAGATATCATTTATTATATACATATACTACATATTTTTAACAAAACCATTATACCCTGATTTCCCACTTTCAATAGGTTCAGGGCATAAACATAGTATGTTCACGATCTCCTAAATTATTTTTTGCTGAGCGGCACTGTGTTCCATAACTTTCTTTCCACCTTAAGGTCGTATGTAACTATATTCATATTTTTATCTTCTCAATTCTGTTATGAATTTTTTCATTTTTTATTTCAGATACAATACAGACTTAAATATGTAAATAATCGTTTGTTTATTAACATAAGTCTGTTCCAAAAAACAAATTCTACTGCGGCCACGAAAGTATCCATATGTGAAAGGCTAAAAAATGTAGTTTTACTTAGACTGCACTTTTAGGTGCGAAATGATGACTAATCAAAACAGTTAGTTTTTCTAAAGTTGCATATACACTGCGCGTCATCAGGTTAGCGCCCCCCTTTACACTCAAGCTCAAAGCTAAATAAAATCTAAACCAGCAGAGCTCCATCTTTGAAATTTTTTTACATTATACTCCATTTATTTCTCTTTAAAATACAAAAAGAATGGCTACTGTAACAATAAGGATTATTTTGTAATAATTTTTTTTGTAAAATGTACAAAAAACATGTAACAAAAATTTGGTCATCAGATTAGCGCCCCCTGCGCTAAATTCAATTTATTTAAGTTAATTACCAAAAATAACACCTGTATATTAAGCTATTGTTATTTTTAAGTAATATTAGTAGTGCGTAGTGCCGTTTTTTGTTTGAAATTACTTAAAAAAATTCGATTAGGAATGGAATTATAAAGTTGTTCAATATTATTCAAGGATATGGTTGATTAAGCGTGTTCAGTACCTTCGATTAACTCTGTCTTTGTACTATAATGCTTTCCGGACTCATATACTTTCCTGACCAACCATCCCCAGACGTTTCCAATGATATTAAGGTCGAGTGAGTATGGTGGCCACTCCATGAGATCAATTTTTTGGCCCTGAATCCAGGACTTCAGGGATCGGGCGGTCTGAATTGGGGCATTATCATGCTGGAAAATCTAATGCCGGTTTTCAGACAGGTTATAGAAATGCGGAACAGCAGTTTTAAACACGATATTATGGTCCTATGCGTTCATGCGCGATGTCAAAAATTGAAGCTTACAAGCGCTGTAGTAAGATATTGCACCCTACATCAATGCCACACCACCCCCCCACCGCAGCGGCTTGGAATCCGTTCCAAATAATGTTCTTCTATGAGTAGGTCATGGATATAATAATTATATCCATCAGTTCCTTCCAAATTCAATTTTTCTCATCAGAAAAGACAACATGCTGCCATTGGATAGGCCACGTCATGTTCGCCCGGCCAAAATTAATGCGTATTTCTTTTCTCAGCATATCGACTGGTGTCTTTTTTTTACATTCTGTTTCTTTAGGTAATTAACTTTCTTTATTGCTCTTTGGACCGTTGATAAGCTCGTCTTAAGACCGATTTTATCCCTAATCTTAGTGGTCGATTCATGGGAATTCGAAGCTTCCCGAACTAATGCTCTTCTATTTCCTTCTGAAATCACTTGATTATTGCCGCTTATATAGTTTTTTCCATAGTTTTCCCTATTTGTAAGAAAATTGCCACTTAGTTTTCTGTTTTTTCCTGATTTTTCAGCATTTTTCTGGTTGCATAGTCTAGATTCAAAGTATGCCTCAATCTTTGATTTTCAACCAAAGATAAAACTGTTTCTTTACCCATACTATAAATATATTGAATACTTTGAGCTTCACAAAAAATTTGGTGAGTGTAATTGCCAAAATAAGCAAGATAATTACAATTGCATTTGGGGGCGCTAATCTGATGACGCAAAATAAGTGCACACATTTTTTGCGAAAATAGAGAAGGATAGAAAATAAAACATAACGGGTTTTCACTCGCGCTTTTTTTTGGTATGAGAGACATCTCATATGATGATAATGAAATAAAAAAAAAACCAAGAAGTTGTGTGCAATAGGCAAAGAGAAAAACGTAAAAGAACATGAGTGTAAGGGGGGGCGCTAACCTGATGACGCGAAGTGTATAAAAAAAAAAATAGTTTAAGCGTATGACCAAATTGTATGCTCTGAAGAACTTTACAGAGCCATACAATTACAGAGCCATGACTAATCCTTTTAAACTTGCCGTAATAGGAATTTTATGTGTATACGAATCGTACACACGTGCATCCTGTATTATGTAATATAGAAATTCAATAGTTCATTACCTTTCTATAGCTTCATGGTCACTCAAATTTGGCATTCCCTGTTTAGCAGATCCTACCTTACGGTTACGCCGACGACCTGTTTTAATGTTATCCATATATATGTATATAAATTATAAAATTGTACATAAGACATTGGTTGTTACAGAATTTACTTACGATCGCGCACTTTTTTTTTGTAGTCTGGTTCACTACGGCGTTTGTTGTCAAAATAAATGCAATATCCAATGAACAACGTTCCAGCCAAACCTGCTGCAATTCCAATTGCAGTTTTGTTTATTTCAATCATAATTCCGTAGCTTTTTTACTCCATAAACCACACTATAGCTGCTAAGCAATCGATGTACGAGTCGATAGTATCGATTGCTTTAAAAATCGATGAGACGTTTAAGGTGAAATGTGACTCACGATATTTTCCAATAAATTTAGCGTTGTGTTAATAACAATTCAAAAATGCAAACAAATCAAATTAATGGAATTGGAACAAATTTTTGTTATATACACTATGACAAGATTTTCCCAACATAAATGTGAGAGATGTAATAATAAACAAAAAATAGTAACTTTTTATATTAAATTTTTAATATAAAACATAAAGCAAAAATGAGCCTGCAACAAAAATATAAAATAAAACAAGACGTTACCGATACTCATGTCCCAAACATTGCTGATCCATTTTCCGATTTGCCATACCTTTAATACATATATAAAAAATTAATATATACATAATAAATTTTAAAATTCTATACAGTCCAACATTTTACAGTAGGCTTAAAATTGTCTCTTGTCATGACGCCCAGTGCTATATGGGCGTTGAGACTCATATTTTTGCGTCATAAAGCCCACGGGCGTAATGACACTTTTAAATGTGAACTAGTACCCACTACAAAAGTTAAATAGCGTATAACGGCGCTAAGACACAATGAAAGAAGATTGATAAATCTTTTAATTTTTCGAACTTCTTCGAGATGAGGCCTATACTTCGTAAGTTATGTTAGCCAGTGCCATTGATGGTGATATACAGTTTGCGTCACTGTAAATCGTTTACATCGAAAATTTTTATTACCGCCTAAAAAAGCGTTCAGAAAAACAAGTAAGAAAGCTCTAGTCGAGATTGCTCGATTACGAGATCCCCTGAAACCTTCGAGCAATAGCTATTTCAATATTTTTTCGCGTCTTTCTGCTTACACACACACGCATACACCACACATATACACACACACACGTATGGGCTGCATTGTGCGCTTACTATAATAATTGTTTAATAACTTTTTTTGTGGACATACGATCTTCATGCAACTTCATAGCACGCCAAATCACAAGTCTCTAGTATTTGAAATACGCCTTTTACAAACTTATACATTTAAAATTTGGAGACTGTATTTCTTTTAAGGATGAAGGAGATATAATTTTATAACTGATTTTCGATAAGGTTTTTTTATCGATAAAAAATAACGGGATGAGCTATCGATTTTTGGTGATAAAATCGATATCCGCACTATATATACGGCAATTTAAAAAAAATTGAAGTCTCTAGCTCTTGTATCTTCTGAAATCGACGCGTTCATACATACGGACAGAAGGACGGACAGACAGAGGGACAGGGCTAAATCGACTCAGCTGATCAAGAATATATATACTTTGTGGGGTCTAACACGCCTCCTTCTGCCTGTTACATATATTTTAACTAAACCATTATACCCTGATTTTCCATTGAAAATGGGTTCCGGGTATAATAATAATAATAATAAAAAAAAAAGTTCTTAGCACAATGCGCAAAAAACAAAAAACAATAAAAATGAAGACCTTCTCAAGGATTTAGAGAGCAAAAACATTTCCGTACTATCATTTTTTTTAGTTATTTGTTAAATGAAAATTATGACAAACACCAGCTTTAAATATAAAGAGTTATCTTCAGATTCTGAAGAGGCGGAAATTGACAGCAATTTGCACCTCAGTCAAATGACTGACTTTCAGGGTGTCATAATGCCCAAAAAAAAAGAAAGGGAAATAATGTCCTGCGTGCGTTATGTCACATTTAAAAGTGTCATTACACCCGTGGGCTTTATGACGCAATGATTATCTATATAAATCGAATTCGAATACAAAATGTAACAACTAAATTGATGTTGCATTATTAAAATACAGACATACATTTATATATACATATCTAAATTCTTGAATGAATGATCTTAGTTGATCTAGGATTTAGTCAAAAAGAATAATGCATAAAAGAAATGTAGAGTTAGACAGCATAAATGCACAAAAAACAAGTAAGAAAGCTATAGTCGAGATTGCTCGACTACGAGATCCCCTGAACCCTTGGAGCAATAGCTATTTCAATCATTTTTCGCGTCTTTCAGCTTACACAAGAAATACGCACACAAACACACACACGCACACACATACACACACACATACACAATCACATACACACACAAGCACCCACGCATAAACACGCATGGGCTGCAGTGTGCGCTTACTATGTTTAATAACTTTTTTTGTGGACATACGATCTTCATGAAACTATTTGCCAAAGCACAAGTCTCTAGTATTTGAAATACGCCTTTTACAAATGTGAGGGTGAGAGGGTGGATATAGGGGTGGGGGGTAAATTTTAACAAAAACCTAAATTGCATATAAGCATACATAAAAAATTTGGAGACTCTAGCAATAAAGGTGTAGAAGATATAATTTTATAACTGGTTTTCGATAAGGTTTTTTATCGATAAAAAAAAGATCGGGATGAGTTATCGATTTTTAATGATAAGCTCGATATCCGCTCTGTAATTACGGACATTTTAAAAAATTTTTAATTTTAAGTCTCTAGCTCTTATATCTTCTGAAATCGACGCGTTCATACATACGGACAGACGGACGGACGGACAGACGGACGGACAGACAGACGGACAGGGCCAAATCAACTCAGCTCGTCGCCCTGATCAAGAATATATATACTTTGTGGGGTCTGCCACGCCTTCTTCTGCGTGTTACATACATTTTAACAATAATTTTAAAAATAAGGAGTGGCCCGACTTCATTTTGCTTTGGCACGTCTTCCATTACATTATAAGGTTTTATTTCTCGATCATTTTGCTGCAGGCAGAAAGTTATGACACCTACTCACTCAGTACATTGCATGCTTCTAACTTACTCATTCAAATTCATATCGAATGAACGTATTTTGTGAGTGAAGTCACGCAGCCCTCAAATTGCAGGGTACAGATGTTCCTGTAGTCGAGCAGTCTGAACTGGAGCGTTTTCACTTGTTATACCTTCAACCTATTGAAAATGGTATATCAGGGTATAATAGTTTGTTAAAATGTGTGAAATTCTTAATCACAACAGATGAGGCTTTAGTCGGGGAGTCCGACTCTGGTAATTTGATGATCAGATGCTCCAGATTAAATTTGAATGCAAGCTTAACGTTTATTTTTAATTGTTGATCAAATAAAAATAGCTATATTATTTATTTATGCTTATTTTTGCTTTCGTTATCATAAGCACTGACCAGAGAACACATAGACATTGCAGAAAAATTGTAACACTAATCAGAGAACACATAGACTATACATGTAGAGCAAACTTTTCTACAGCAGAAAATGTTAAGTTGTTTGACCACTATACTTCGTATTTGCTCGGCTCGGTCGCCGAGCAAATACGAGCCTAGCAAATACGAAGCAAAGTTGTCAACCAACTTAACATTTTCTGCTGTAGAAAAGTTTGTTCTACATGTATAGTCTATGTGATCTCTGATTAGTGTTACAATTTTTCTGCAATTAGCAGGTGAAAAAGGCCAGATTTGGCCATTAAAACGCTAAGTTGGCAGCCCTGTTATTTCGCCGTCTGTCTCACTTTGGTAAAATTAATTTTAATAGTGTGAACATTTTTTTCGCCTTTGGAATAGAAAACACAACTGAACGTTATCAGTGTATTTAGGGTACCTAAAACAAAAAAAAAAAAAAAAAAAAGGAAAAGTGCAAAGAAATAGATAAAATTGAAAAACTCAGACGAAGTCTGAGTGTCAATAATTTCGGCAATTGGTTGTTGCCTTTTGTTAAGGACTTCGAAAATAAAAATCTATTTGGGGTTTTTAATAACATTGAAAATATGGGCAAAATATGTTGGTTTTTGTTTGATTTTCTTCTGGTATTAGTTTATGAACTTTTGCTTTATTTCAGCTATTGGTACTTTTTCAAGGAAATCTATTGGGGTTCATGACAAAATAACATCGAAAACATGTACAATATAAGACTTTATAGGCTGTGTTTAATTCGTATACAAATAACTTCGAAAATCCGGGCAGTATAAGACTTTACTGTTTGTGTCTCCTTATTTATACCCCTGCTTCACCAGGGCATTGGGAATTGAAATTCATTTTTCATATCTGGAGTGTTATAGGGAAATTTAAATAAAAGAAAATATTTGTATTTATATTTTAGCAACCATCTACATACAGTTTGGCACTGGGAAATTTGAATTTTTTATTATTTCTACTTGGGAATTTTTATTAGTATTAGTTTGAAGCATACATATCCTATGTAATTCTGATTTTTGGTATTTAAGTACATTTTCGTAATTAAAGTTGACTTGCATTTTTGTATTTTTACTTCTGAAATATCAAATAAATCATTTTATTGTATGCTTAGAAATTAAATGTTAAAAAGCGCTTACATTGAAATGCGTGAATTCGTGATTATTGCAATTGAGAATTGCCCGTTCTACTTCAGAATTGGAACTCGTCTTTCTGGGGTGAGGTGTCTATGGCAGTGGTGCCAGATTTCGAACGACAAAATAGGCCAAATTTCACAAAAATATAAGCTAGAATAGGCTAAAAATTCGAAAAAACTGGCTTAAAAAAAAAGCAAAAAATTAAACAAAACATAAATTTTAAATGTTTAATTGTGTAATTATATTATCTAGTTCACAGTCTGAAGGACTTGCGTATTTATCGCTGGAACTTATAAGATAAATATATTTTTCAGGCAATTCGTAATTATGGCAACATTTGCCATGCCGCCGCAATCCATATCTGAATAAATATAAGATATATTTTTTATATACATCAAGCAACTAAATATTTTTTAAACAAACCTTATATGCAAAATCGCATTTAATGACTTTATTGACATTTGGTTCCTGAGCTTAGTCTTTATGATATTCATTTGGCTAAAAACTCGTTCAATTGCAGCATTTGACCACGGAAGTGATAAAATTTCCATTGCAAATGTAGCAATTTCACAATTTCACAATTTTGAGCGCGATCAACGAATCAAAATGTGACGAAAACTTTTCAACAAAAATATACCATTTATTAATACGAATGGTATGGTATTTCAGAATTAATTTATGGTATTTACCATGTTATATAATGGTAAATACCATATTAAACAAAAAGGTCTACAAAAAAGTTTAGTTTGGTTCGCTTTGCCTCTATAGATAACCAAATAATATAAAATGGTAAAAATAACAAAACCAAAATATAATAAAAAGGCTAAATTTATGGCTATAGGCATTTTGACATTTTTCCAGGCTATTTCATTTTGAAATAGGCTAGATCTAGCCTTAAATAGGCTAAAACGAGCTCGATTGTTGGTCTACCTTCTATTTTTCTTGTCCAGCATGCTTACCGATTACGATGCAATCCATTGAAAACATATGTACACATATTCGGGATTCTTGTTATCTCCTCGTTGGCTACAGATTGCGACGTTTTCATACCCTGAAAATGGGAAATCAGGGTATAATGGTTTTCTTGAAATGTGTGTAACAGGCAACACATTATGGGGTTTGACACGCCCCCTATTTACAGCAAATGCAATATTATTATAATTAAAATTTATAAAATAAAGCCTTTCACATCAAGTAAGAAAGCTCTAGCCGAGACTGCTCGACTACGAGATCCCCTGAACCCTTCGAGCAATAGCTGTTTCAATAATTTTTCGCGCCTTTCTGCTTACACAAGACACACGCACACACACACGCATACACCACACATATACACACACACGCATAAAAACGCATGGGCTGCATTGAGCGCTTACTATGAGAACTTAATTGTTTAATAACTTTCTGTGGATGTACTTTCAGACTTTCAGATTAATAACTTCTTGGGGATGTACTTTCCTCATGAAACTTTCAGATCATGATTATAACATGGATATGCGTGCATTTGCCAAAGCATAAGTCTCTAGTATTTGAAATACGCCTTTTAAAAATATGTGGGTGAGGTGGTGAAAAAAAAAACTGTACTTCTGCGTTATTTTTCTAAACAATGTTCTTGACTTGTCTCGACACAAACTTCTTGAAGTTTGGAATTTTTCAAAATGTCTATTTAGACTTGAAATGAGTATATTGGTTTTGTGCAATGTCCGTCTTGCTGTCCGTCCGTCTGTCCGTATGAACGCAATCTATTTCGGCGCTATTGAAGCTAGAGACTCGAAATTTGGAACACATACTCGTGTATAGCTCCGATTTATAAAGTGTTAAAAATTTTCCCGATCCGCCAACTAGGGGCGTGGCAAATCGGAAAATTCATTTTCCGATATACCATAAATCATGTTTGTTGAAGAGCTAGAAAGCTGAAATTTGGTATGTAGGTCCGCGTCGACCTCCCAAGATTACAAGCTATGGCGGATATATCTCCGCCCATTGGGGGCGTGGAAAAATCGGACAAAACTGTATCTACTAAAGCTATAAACCTAGAATGCTGAAATTTTGCACTTCAGCTGATGTTTTAATTCTATAAAAATTATTAGAAAATTATATATCTACGCCTACTAGAGGCGTGGCAAATCGGACCTGAAGATATAGTGATTTTTCGAATTCGGCTATATTTTGGACACTATTGATGCTAGAGACCTGAAATTTGGTATATATACGCGGGTTGACCACCCAGGTCCAACGAGCTATGGTAGATATATGTCCGGCCATAGGGGGCGTGGCAAACCTCAAAGGTTTATATCTCCTACAGTTTAAGAGCTAGAAGCTTCAAATTTGGATAGTTTAGTTACTGGTAGCCTCCTCTATCAATGCCCCAAAAATTTTTACGCCTCTTTAGGGGCGTGACATATCGAAAAATACCCTGTAATTTTCACGTTTTTTGAGCGTAAGAATTCAAATTTTGCATTTAGGTTACTGGTTGCTCGTTAAAAAAACTGTCCAAAAATGAGGAGTCTACAGCCATTAGGGGCGTGGCAATCGGCATTTATAGTGCCCATATTGCGGCATTTATAAGCATCAGCCTTAATAGGCATTGATAGCACGGAAGGAAACATTTTTGAAAAATTAATAATATATAAAAATGCTAAAATAACAAAAAAATTTGCAATTTACATAAACGAGTTTTCCGCGGGATCTCAACCGCACCCAAACCGAATAGCATGTTCATGTCAAAATATCTAAAATAAAAATCGCCGGCGCTTCAGCCTACAACACCACCGCGTCGTTTTGACCAACAGTTAAAACAAGTAAGAACGTTTCAGTCGGGCGTTACCGACTGCGGAATACTCATTCACATCCCATCAACAATTTAGTAGTTAAGTTTCGCTCTAATACTGTAGAATATACAGGTTTTTCCGATTTGCCACGCCCTAACTGGGCGTAGATACCTCATTTTTGGTCAGTTTTTAAAACGAGATAACTGTACCCTAACTGCAAAGTTTGAATGCTTACCCTCAAAAAAAGTGAAAATTACAGGGTATTTTTCGATATGCCACGCCCCTAACGAGGCATAAAAATTATTTGTTTGAGGAATCGATAGAGGAGGCTACCAGTAACTCAACTATCAAAATTCGAAGCTTCTAGCTATTATACTTTAGGAGATATAAACTTTTTCGGTTTGCCACGCCTCCTGTGGGCGGACATATATCCGACAAAGCTTTTTGGTCTTGGGTGATCAGCCTGAGTATATATACAAAATTTGAGATCTCTGGCATCAATAGTATCCAAAATATAGCAGAATTCGAAAAATCACTATATCTTCAGGTCCGATTTGCCCCGCCCCTAATGGGTGTAGACTTCTAATTTTGTCTTTAGACTTTATAGAATCATAACATTAGCTGACATGCAAAATTTCAGCATTCTAAGTTTACAACTTTAGGAGATACAGTTTTATCCGATTTACCACGCCCCCAATGGGCGGAGATATATCCGCCATAGCTTGTGATCTTGGGTGGTCGACGCGGACATAAATACCAAATTTCAGCTTCAGCTTCAGAACTAACATGATTTCTGGTATATCGGAAAATGCATTTTCCGCTTTGCCACGCCCCTAGTGGGCGGATCGGGAAAATTTTAACACTTTATAAATCGGAGATATACACGAATATGTGTTCCAAATGTCAAGTCGCTAGCTTCAATAGCGTCGAAATAGATTGCGTTCATACGGACAGACGGACGGAGAGCAAGACGGACATTGCACAAAACCAATATACTGATTCACTTTCGTGAATGAGTATAACAAAATCACATTATTGTTATGACGAAACATAGCAAAGAAAAGCCAGTGTAGCGGCTGGAAATTCAAAAACAATGCAAAGACAAATCAATCGCAACGAGATTCTTAGAATATGCCAGAGCACGCATTTGTATGTACATACATACACACATACAAATGAGCGCGTGTATAAGGCTTGTATTCCGGAATTCCAGGACGGATGGTCACCCTAATAGCCCATCTCCCATGGAATGAGAATGTACTATATTTTATTTTCGGCATTATTGATTATTATGTTACTTGTATTCTTGGAAATATAAACTTTTACCTAAAGCAGAAGTATACCAAACAAACGGAGAAACAAGTAATATTGCCTTTTAACTGAAGCTCGAGTACAGAATGGTTCGATGTTACACGCTGTTAGCTTGCAGACAAATGTTAATGCAACCGTTTTGTTAACATTGAGAACCACACGCACAGATGCTAACATCACTGTTAAAAGAAACAATCGTAGCTAACATGTTATAAACTGCTCTCTTTGGTATGGTCTGTTAATGTTGGCCTGGTGGGCAAACGAGATTGATAGTGTTCGTTTATGTATGAGCATCGAGTAAGAAATCCACAGTTAGTTACATACTCTGATGCGGCTCGTACGTGCGATTTTCTGCGGCGGACGATATATAATAAATTCAACGTGCGGTGTCTACGTTACATATACATACATATACAATAGTTTTGGTTTTAATAATCACAAATGCAATATGTTTGATGTGGTTTCTGTGAATTAGTGAATATTTGAAAAGTATGAAAGTGATTTTAAAAAATACGCATGTGACATATCTTATCACCAATGCTTACATGCAAAGCAAATATATAGGTATAAAGCCATGTTCATATGCATATAAATACATATACATATACATGTATGCATTTATATGTATGTGCATTTAAAATTTGTGAATTTGTAAAAACATTTTGAATGGGCTCAGCTTGTTTAAATGTTTTTAATTCAATTAATAGGCTAATAAATTATTGTGCTTTATTTTTAGAAATAAACATAAAGTAAATGTTGTATATTTTGTAAGCTGCATTCAAATCATAAGTCATTGAAAATACTTAGATTTGTTTGTTTTATTTATTTTACTATAAATGTGTATGTGTATGCTTAATATTTTTAACATTGTATACATATACATCCATACAGACTTCGATTATGTGAACCTAGTTAAGCTTGTGAAATTATGGTAACACGGCTTTATACTTATGCATACATATGTATATATGTATGTATTACTTAGTCTTTTGGTCCCGTTTTCTTGATTTATCACTTGTATTGAAGGCATGTTATTTCAATTACATGGACATGTAATGTGAACTCAGAAAATCTGGCAACGCTGTGATCGTCAAGTGAGTGGAAAATACTCGATAACTACCGATCTACCTCCGTTAACTCCATTGACGATAACAGTAATATGTTTGTTATACGTCGCGTACGGGAGAGAGAATATGCCTTTAAGCCATTTTGGATCATAACAAATAAATAATAATAATGCATTACATTTCAATGTATACAAGAAATAGAAAATTTGTTTAAGTTTAAAAAAGTCTAAAACTATGTCCTGTTCATTTGACACTACCATAACTTATTTTATGAAATATATAATTTGATGCATTCAAACACGCCAATACTAATTAAAGTTTAATAAATGTACTGTGGTTACCTATCGAAACGCAACGCAACAGAAATAAATCGCCGGCTCAATTTCTTGCCAAACTTAACTCTCAAGCATCGACGTCACACATATTAATTCGTTCCTAAATATGTATGTATATGTACATATGTATGTATGTATGTTCATGTCAAAAGTGTGCCCAAAAGCGAACCCATATAAATATGAATGATATGTATGTACATATGTGTGAGTGTTCAATAATTATACACACTTATGATATAAAATGAAAAAATATTATGGTCAATGAGGTGAAGCACAGAACGTCTTAGTAATTAGGTGCAATATATGTATATTATAATACCTATGGGGAAAATAAAAGTGAGGATGTTGTTAATTTGAATGCTATTGTGATTTATGCCAATATACAGTTATAAATCATATGTATATCAAAAAAGAAATGATTAAAATTTCCAATACAAAAGTATATAAATTAGTTAAAAATAGTGGATGTATAAATAATTAAATAAAGAAATGATAATCAATTAAAACAAAATATATACATAATACAATCTTTTCATTAATAAAACGACTAAAGTAAAATATAGTGAATTCAAAATATAAATACTGTTGTGCGATTGTATCCTTAGTACAGGCACATATATGAAGTGTTCGGACTTTAAAGCTTAAAATATTGTATAAAGTTTTTTAAAATATAAATAATATTGGAGGTGAATCAAAAACAAATGACCAAGAAATCTACTATTTTTTGTTTGTTATAAGTGTATTGCTAAATCAGAATCTGAAATGTTTGCCATTTCAGTTAGAAAATATTCGTTTATTTATCCTGGATATATTACAATGCAATATACACATATAATTATGCCTTTTTGACAGATTGGGTCAACCAATTTCTTCGTAATTGTCGCAATTTGGAATTATGTTATAAAAATTTTATGTTTTAGAAGTCTATTCATATACACTTTTAGGTATGTAAATGTATATGTATAGGTATGAATAAGTTTGAGACCTAATTAAGCAACTTGTTGCATCGCGGAATTTCATACTTTCAACAATTTGTTTGCTTTCCATTAATATAAGAAAGTTTTATTAATATTAAAGTAATGTTAATGTACTGTGAGAAATAAAAGTAAAATATTTTTGTGAAATACTAAATGGAACTCGAATATACCATTTGTAGTTTTTGTACTCGTTCACGAAAGTGAAATAAGAGTATTTGGTTTTTGCAATGTCCGTCTTTCTATCCGTCCGTCCGTATGAACAATTTTTCAGCAGTATTGAAGCAAGACACTTGAGATTTGGAGCACATACTCGTGTATATCTCCGATTTAAAGTGTTAAAATTTTCCAAATCCGCACTAAATCGGAAAATGGATTTTCCGATATGCCAGAAATCATATTAGTTTAAGAGCTAGAAAGCGGAAATTTAGAATGTAGATTCGCGTCGACTACCCAAGATCAAAAGCTATGACGGATATGCCTATGCCCACTGGGGGCGAAGATATAGGGATTTTTCAAATTATGCTATACTTTAGTATTTTGGTCTCTAATGATGCTACAAACCTAAGTTTTGGTATATATACTCGGGCTTGCCACCCAAGATCAAAAAGCTATGGCAGAATATGTATTTCCGCCCACAGAGGTGTGGCAAAACGCAAAAGTTGATATCGCCTACAGTTTAAGAGCTAGAAGCTTCAAATTTGGACAGTTGAGTTAGTTGTAGTCTCCTCTATCGATCATCAATAAATAGGGGCATATCGAAAAATACCCTGTAATTTTCACATTTTTGGAGCGTGAACATTCAAATTTTTTTTGCAGTAGCAAAGAATAATTCGTAAAAAAAAACAGCTTAATGAGGTGAACCGGCTCACTTCCTCTTTTTTGTGAAGTGAGCCAACTCACTCATTTGGCTCACTGGCTCACTTGCTGATAGCTCATGAGCTGATAGTGATCGCAAACAAAATGAGGGAGTGAGCCAAAATTAGCTAGTGAGCCAAAATGAGCGAGTGAACCAAAACGAGCTAATGAGCCAAAATAATCCATATTAAAAGAACAAGCTCAGTGGCTCAGTTTAGTGAGCCATTCATTTTGACTCACCAAAGTCTAATCCGTAGTGCACATAGGTAAATGAAGCAGACGATAGTGTCTAGGTGTTCGGGACGGAACCGAAAAATTAAGACGCATCAACAAAGAGGACGAATCAATATTACCTTCGGCGCGCCCAAATGGGCAGAATTAATAGTTTAGCTCACAAAGGCGTTATTAGGTTACCCAGTATGGCTTTCAAAATAAAAATAAAAAAAAAATATTACCTATAATCATTTTATGCAGAAAAACAAACACGATGAAAGATCAATGAGCTGAAGGCTATGGTAAAATGACAAAAGGCAAAAAGAAGAAAAAGTTTTGAACCTATTCAATACGATCCTGGTACAGTTTATGTTGCGGGGACCATACAACTGAGCAATACTCTAAGATAGGACGCACAAGCAAAATAAATAATTGCTTGGTAATAAAATGATCTGTAAATTCCTTAGACCAAAGTTTAGTAAATAATGAACGATACTCTGAGGTACACCGGACGACACAAAAATAAGTAATAGCTCACAAATAACTGTCAACACTTTTTCGTTGTCTGCAAAAAAATGTGTCTTTCACTGACACAATAAAAAAAACTCAGAAACTGACTTTGTCGCGACTGGCCTAGGTCTGTTCGCGCTCTGAGCGAGACAGTTATTTCTGATTTGGTTTCGCTCAAGTCAAACACTGATCGTTTGCTTGAGTTAAATGAAGCAAACTGTCAGTTGCGTTTGTATGGGTAATTACACGCGATTGTTGCGTTCTTTTATGTATGTATGTATGCATGTATTTACATGCATACGAAGGCAAAGATCATTTCTGTTGAGTTTTTTAGTCAAACTGTCTTTTGCTGAGAGTCTTTGTGTGAGCGAAAATCGTATTAGTCTTTACGCGACACTCATTTGAGAGCGTCACAGGAATGAGTCATTGCAATGCGTCTGACCGAAACAGATTCTAAAGAAAACAAACAGTGTCGCTCAGAGCGAGATCGTGTCTGAACAAGCTTTTCGGTTATGATACGAAGCAGAGCATATACGAAAAAACGATCAACTCTCATTTGCGAGCTCGGGTTAAAACTGCAATTTATTGAGTTGAAAGCTAGAATGCTGAAATAAAGAAAAGAAAAAATTTACCATTATTAATTCGGACGCTACGTAAGCTTACCTTAATCTCTAAAGAAAAGCAACCAATGTATCAGAATCAATATCTAGTTATAGTCATTGAATAATAAAGCAATATAGCATGCAATTTTAAAATTGCTGAAGATCAATTGCAACGAAATCAGAGTATTGATTAGAGATTATTTTTAATCTGGGAAGACTTACGGAAATCAGCAAGCAATCAAATGTGTCTAGATCGTCTGTACATGGGGTGATACAAATAAAGAAAAAAAAATTAAAGCTCTAGTCGAGACTACTCGACTACGAAATCTCCTGAATTCTAAGAATTGATATTTCAATAATTATTCGCGTCATTATGCATACACAAGAAACACACACTCAGGCATGGACTGCAAATACTACTACTAGCATTATCATTATACCCTGATGTCCCATTTTCAATGGGTTCAGGGTATAAAAATGGGAATATTGAAAATAACATAGCAAATAGGGAGCGAGCATCAGCAATAGCACCCAGCGACGAAAGACAACTGGCTAAAATTGTTAAATCTGAACAATCAACAATTGTTGTCGCCAATCTTTAAGAAATTTGGCTTCTGAGTGGTCGCAGAATATTGGAAAAACTGTCCAGCGAAAATGGACGCGAATTAATTTAAAAGTTACTGGATATAGTTTTTATAAAGCATGTTTGGTTATTACCAATGCATCTTCGGGGCTCGGGAAAGGATGTCTTGGACTCAAAAGCAATAGGATACCATCGTATTTAGCGATGAATCTTAATTTGATGTTAGTGTCGGTGATACGAAAAAGCGTGTCATCCGAAGAGTGCAGAAAAATTCCATAACTACTGCCTTAAAACAGTTAAGTTTCCTGCCAGCACTATGGTATGGGGATGTAAGTCTGCCAAAGGATTAGGAAAACAGCGTTTCATTGAAGGGACGGTTAATGCTGAAAAATCATTAAAATTTTAGAAGGTTGTTGCTGGCATGAATACCAGAACTTTTCAGCAGGACGGAGCATCATCGCGCACAGCCAAACGAACTAAAATTTGTCTGGAATTAAATGGAGACTTTAGATCGGCTATCAAATAGTCCAGGTTAAGTAAGCTTCGAAATGAGCCACAAAGGAACATTTCTGACTTGAAAATCAAGTTGCAAGAGATGCGTGGCTTAATTTCTCAAGAGCACATACCAAAACAGGTTAAATGCGTAATACAGGCCAATGGCGACATTCAACAATTCTAATGTTAATTAATTAAATAATTGTTTTAAGTATGATAGTAAATCACATTACGCAGCTTTCGCAGATGTTTGGCACATTTTTCTTATCTCTTAAGTCTACTGTTTGAATAAATTACTCATATACAATATGGGAATTTCTCCAGAAAGGTCAACCGCATTCAAAGTCAATGAAAGCATGTTCTGCTGACATATTTTTTATAACTAATCTATCAAACTTAATTAATATAAACCAATTATACATGTTATCATAATACATCTCGAAATATTGAGACACAAAGCCGAATTAGTACAAAAGTTCTGTTTAAAGCATTTCTTTTGCACATTTTGTTCTTATTATTGAGACACTATGCAATGAAATATGATACTTCGAATTTTCTCTATTTTATTATAATTGATAAATTGAATATATTGAAAATCATTTCTAATGCTTTTATTCATGTAAAATTACTAAAAAATTAAATAAAAAAAAAAAAAGTATGGTAT